AGGGGCTGGGAGCACGGGAAGGCCACGTTCCGGGGGCGGGCGGCTTTCTCACTCGCTGAGCGCCGTAGGAGGACCACTTGGCCTGGACCAGGCGTGTCTGTGGCCCTGCCCGCTCCCCGCCTGGCTCCCAAGAGGGCCATCGGGAGAGAGCTAGACCCTCACGGCGCCTGCTTTCCTAGCTCAGGACCATGGACAACGAGACGGGCAGTGGGCCCTACGGGCGCTCTGCTATTTTGGCCACAACGAAACAAAACATAAAAATCGTCATTTAACTTCCTCAGTGGCGTCTTTCTTACACCCCCGAATGTTGAAGCATGAGATATATGTGGAGATTTGGGTTCAGGGGAGAACGTCAGAGCCTCAGGGGAAAGCAGGGAGCTGCCGGAAATGTATTTGATCCGAACCCCAGCCTTGGCGCCTGAGCTGCGTGTGGACAAAAGTGCGGGCCACGCGGCCGGGCGGGAAATGCAAATTTGATTTTTGTTGTTCATATTCAAAAAGCTTCACCAGATGCTTGGACAACATTAGGGGTTTGCTGACTAGGGAGCTGAAACATGATTATTCTATCTATTGGGGGTTTGGAAACCCAGAAAGTAGTCTCTGCTGCGGTTCTGGCTCTTGCTCCCCCTGGATCTCGAAAGTACTAATTGCTCGGCAACCTCATGAGCTTTGGACTTTAGAGGGATTAGTCTCTAGATATAGGGACCTTTAGAGAAAAAAGGGGCAGCGGGCATGACCTTGCTCCCGAATTTTACCTTCTCCGGGACAAAGCAGACTCAGTAGGAAGGTGGAAAGCGTGTGGCAGGTGACCGGGTTGTGGGAAGGTGGATGTTTTCTTGACATGTTTCTGACCAAAAGGGTGTCTAGGTGGGTGAGAGAAGATGGAAGGAGCTGGTGCTTCTGCCTCCTTCACCTTCTACAGGGGAAGTGAGTCCTAAGAGCCACCTCCCCCTGCGAGTCACCAGAAGCGAAAATTCAGCTCACTCACTATCATTTGTTGGCTCAAATTGACCTCGCATCTGGCTTCCAGACAGCTGTGCAGCAAGTACCATGAAACTTTTCTATGGTCAGCTGTCAAATGCTGAAATGAAAATAGTGATAGCTAAGGTGCCAGGGGTGCTGTGGCAGGCTGAGGTGAAGCTCAGGGCCTCCCGTTGCCCTGTAAGTTCATGTTCACAGTAACTCCATGAGTTCGGTGAACTCATTTTGCACATAAGGACACCAAGGCTGAGGGGAGGTCAGATAAGGGTTCCAGGATGCAGTCGCTCAGGGGTATTCACTGAATGTGCGCAGCGATCTCTGGGAAGTCAGCAGTGAACACAGAGAAATCCGACCTCGGCGTCACTCACTCTCTGATGGGGGGTCACCACTAACATTTATGAGTCCCGGCAATATTGACGTCTCTCACTCGAAGTTTGCATGCAGGCATTCTGCTTCTCTTCCTGTTTTCCTGCCCTCCCTGCCTCCTGTAGGGAGGCCCCTCTCAACTAGTGAACGTTGGGGTTCTCAGCCAGGCCCCTCTGTCTACCCGGTCTCGGCCGCCACTGTTTTCCCGAGAAACAAATAGCGTTCGTCTTTATCGGTGCATCCTGCCCCATCCAGCCCTGAGCCCAGAACGGAATGGCGGGCTTGTGCTTTCTAAAACAATTCAAGTTCATTTTTAAGATAATTGCTGTGTTCTTTAAGGTTAGTGTTGCTCGGGAGGTGCCCGGTGCCTTGTTTCCTTCAGGCCCTGAGGCTGGGGCACTTGAACTTGCCCCTTTCAGTGGGAGCCAAGAGTGAGCGCTGCTTGGCTCAGAACCCTGGTTTCCTGGTCTGCCACGATGATGTCCTTTCTCTCAGTTTCTACCTAATGGAATGGAAGGAACCAGGGCTTTCCCTGAAGTCACACCCGGTGTAGCCCAGCTAGGGCCGTGTTTGCTGCCGCTCAGGGGGCTGTGCCAAGTGACCGCAGACGGGGTTGGTGTTGTCATTCAAAACAGAAGATTCAGGAATCAGGGTGAGCCTGGAGTTTTGCTCAAGGATCTTTTCTGTTTACTTTAAAAATAGAATTCTCTACTCATGAAAGAACAGCAATCAAGTGGCTCTTCTTGGAATCCCCCACATCATCTGCAGACAGGCCTTATTGTACTCGGGCCTCCCTAAAACCTGCGGGTTCCACTTGTGAGTGCCCTGAAGTGGGGGGCCTGGCGGGAGCCTGTCTCTCATTGCTTTGCTTGTGTAACATATGACACCTTCGCCAAGAAAAGGCACAGCCTGGCCAAGTGGAGCCTGCTCTGCCGCCTCCCTCCCTCCCAACCTCCAGCCTAAGCTCTGTCAAGTTTCTGAAACCCCTTCCCGCACAACCTCGTCCTTACTGCAATCAGCAGACATTTCCCGAGTACCTACCGTGTGCCTGGCCCTGGGTCTTTGGGGCAGAAAGGAAAGTGAGAGACAGGTGCATTCAGTTTACTGTTAATAAACCCACTGAGTTAGCGAGACTTTTCTTACATATTTGTTTAATAACGATGTAAAATATATACAGAGTTTTAAAATCCAATCTACAAAGCCATTCAGAGAAATCCAGCCTTGTCCCGTCTACCCAATCCTCTCCTTTCCGCTGAAGTTAACAATGGAAAAGTTGTATTTAATTTTCTTTTCCATGTATAAGCATTGAGGTGCATGAATTCCTCTCCCTCCTTCACACTGTACAGATTTTCTCCACCTTGCTCGTCAATTTTTCTTTTTTTTCAACCCACCACCTGCATGGCTTTTTTAAAAAATACTGTATTGCATATGTGTTTATTCATTTACTTTCTATGTATCCTTTATATCTGTCATCAATTCTAGTTTCCCCACTACCATCCCTTATTCCCCCTTGACTGTTCTGCCTCCCCCTCTCTCTTAACCTCAGAAACCTCACTTCTGTCATCAGTGTGTGGTAGTTTATAGTTATTTTGTTTTATTAGTTCACTGACTTTGTTTACTTATATTTTCTCTATGTGAAATCATCCTTTGCCTTTATCTTTCTGGCTCACTTCACTCTGGATATTAACTGGGTTTCTTAACTGAGCCCACTTGGGTGAACTAACACTCGCCAGGGTAGAGATCACCTTAGCAGAACGCAGCATCTCAAAATCAGACACCTGGGTAGGTGGGTCAAAGAAGGTACCTCGTGTAGAAGAGATGGAAGAGAAGACATCCTACGGAAAGTGAAAGCTAAGAACCACCAGAAAGATAAATAGTTACTAGCCAGGGGAAGGTGTATTTTCTAAGAAAAGATCATAATATGTACACCGCCCTAGAGGTAGAAGGAAATTTAGCACATTAAAAAAGACAGAGTTTCAGAAGAGCTGAAAATGTCTGGCCCAGGGGTGGGGCAGTGACACTGAGCAGAGGCAGGGATAGCCCTGGGTGGACGAGCAAGGGCCAGTGAAGTTGGCCCAGTTTGCATTTTATTCTAAAGACAATGGAAAAATTGTGGGATTGTAAGCAGGAAGGGAAGTGTGTTTTTTTTTAATATTTATTTTATTTATTTATGCATACAGGAGTTGGGGTGTGGGCCAGAGGTGCGGGAGGTTAGAGGATTCACCAGAGACAGAGCGGGGAACAGAACAGGCAGATCTATTGAAATGCACTGCTGAGGGGAGCAGCAGGGAGACAGGAGAGGTCTGCCGTGCCATGTGGGTAGCTCCCTGGCTGGGGATCAAACTCCTGCTGCAGTGGGTGCCTATACCTTCATAGTGCTGAGACATAACCCCTGGACCACCAGGGAGGCCTGGACGTGTGTTTTTTGAAAGAGGTGGCAGCATGGACAATAGACACTGGTGGAAAGCAAGACAATGACTAAAAGGATAAAAGCGAGTGGACGGGTGGATTGGTGGTGGCAAGGCCAAGGGACCAGCCGAGGGACTGTTGTCACCATCTAGCAAGAGATAGTGGTATTCTGGCTGTGATCATGGCAGGGAGGGTGGAGGTGAGTGGGCATATTCCAGTGATATTTTGGATGCAGAATCCAAGGACTTGGTGGCTGGCGATGTGGGATGTGTCAAGATGCATTAGTTTCTGACTCAGGTAACTGGGCAGCTACTGAGCTCCAGAGGGCAGAGGTGACGACCACATTTGAGTAGCAAAAGATACCAACGCTGAGAGATGTTGAGTCTGATATGCCTGTGAAGCGTGCAGGAAGGGAGCCCTGAATTAGCGGGACTCTGCAGAGAAGGCTGGGCTGGTGCTTCCTCGGGGCTCAGGCCTGGAGGAGACGGCTGCCGGTGTGGGAACGCCTGCGATGTCTAGGTGAGCATGTAGAGTGGGCACGGAAGGACAAAGACAAACAGCCCCACCATTTAGAAAAGAGAAAGGAGACTCCAGGAGCCTGAGCAGAGAGGGGGGAAAAGGAGCAACCTGGGAGTAGGATTCCCTGGGACTTGGGAACCGGCAGCCGTGTGCTCTTAGAACCCGGGGCCCCCGTAGTGCAAGGCACCTGCAGGTCACCTCAAATAAGAACTGCACGGGAGTTTGGGGTCACATTAACCATTGATCGTCAACTCCGTGCTATTCAGTAAGTGCTAAATATCATATTCTTATCAGGGTGTTAGCGTCATCTGAAATGTGGTTGATTTCATTCCTTGATGTTCCCAATTAGGATGTGACAAGAATTTAAGACAGGCATTAGCATCGTTCCCCAGAGTGATGCCTGTTGACTCAAGTCTCACACCTGGCATTTGCTCGGAAAATAAGGGCAGAGTCTTCCCTCGGAGAGAAGCACTGCCCTGCACGGTCTTTCTTGTCCTCCACCGTCCGCTCTTAAGTTTGTCGTCTCTGAGCCTTGTGGGCTCTGCTCTTGTTAAACTCTTGTCTCACAGAATTTGAATTGAAGCCTGGCCAGTTCTGGAAGCGAAGCGCCACGTCCCTCCTCGGTGCCTACCCTCTTCCCAGCTAGTTCACAGCCGTGCCCACCCCGGGTGTGCAGGCAGCCAGGATTGGCGGCGTAGTCACTCTCTTCCCTGTTTCTTTTCCAGCTGCAAGAGACTGTGAAAAGGAAGTTGGAAGGAGCCCGATCCCCACTCAATGGAGACCAGCAGAACGGCGCCTGCGACGGGAGTTTCTCCCCCACCAGCAAGCGGCTGCGGAAGGACCTTCCGGCGGGGATGGAAGCCATCAACAACCTGCCCAACCACATGCCACTGCCTTCGGCTTCCCCCCTGCACCAGCTTGACCTGAAGCCTTCCCTGCCCTTGCAGAACAGCGGCGCCCACACTCCTGGGCTTCTAGACGACCTCAGCAAGAACGGCAGGCTCCCGGAGATCAAGCTTCCTGTCAACGGTTGCAGCGACCTGGACGAGAGCTTCACCATCTTGCAAGGCAAGGACCTCAAACAAGAGCCTCTCGACGACCCAACTTGCATAGACACGTCCGAAACATCTCTCTCCAATCAGAACAAGCTGTTCTCAGACATTAACCTGAACGATCAGGAGTGGCAAGAACTGATCGATGAACTGGCCAACACGGTTCCTGAGGATGACATACAGGACCTGTTCAACGAGGACTTTGAGGAGAAGAAGGAGCCAGAATTCTCGCAGCCAGCGACCGAGACCCCGCTCTCCCAGGAGAGTGCCAGCGTGAAGAGCGACCCCGCCCACTCTCCTTTCGCCCACGTCTCCATGGCCTCTCCCCAGGCCCGGCCCTCTTCTTCCGGTCCGCCCTTTTCTACTGTCTCCACGGCCGCCAGTTTACCTTCTGTTGCCAGCACGCCCGCTGCTCCAAACCCTGCCAGCTCACCAGCCAACTGTGCAGTCCAGTCCCCTCAAACCCCAAACCCAGCCCACACCCCAGGCCAGGCTCCCCCGCGGCCCGGCAGTGGCTATCTCCTCAACCCGGCGGCCACTGCCAGCTCGGGGCCCGGCACGGACATGTCTCCCGCGGAGCAGCTCAAACAGATGGCTGCGCAGCAGCAGCAGAGGGCCAAGCTCATGCAGCAGAAACAGCAGCAGCAGCAGCAGCAGCAGCAGCAGCAGCAACAGCAGCAGCAGCAGCAGCAACAGCAGCAGCAGCAGCAACATTCGAACCAGACTGCGAGCTGGTCGCCCCTAGGGCCCCCCTCCAGTCCGTACGGCGCAGCTTTCGCTGCAGAAAAACCAAATAGCCCGATGATGTACCCCCAAGCCTTTAACAACCAAAACCCTATAGTGCCTCCCATGGCAAACAACCTGCAGAAGACGACCATGAACAACTACCTCCCTCAGAGCCACATGAATATGATCGGTCAGCAGCCAAATAACTTGGGCACCAGCTCCCTCAACAAAGCGCACAATCTTCTCTCGTATGGCAACACCAAGCCCCTGACCCACTTCAATGCGGACTTGAGTCAGAGAATGACGCCCCCCATGGCCAACCCCAGCAAGGCCCCCCTGATGCCCTTCATGCAGCCCCAGCCGCAGCCGCCCCAGCCGCAGCCGCCGCTCCAGACGCCCCGGGCCCACCTGAGCGAGGACCAGAAGCGCCTGCTTCTCCTGAAGCAGAAAGGAGTGATGGGCCAGCCCCTGGCCTACGCGGCGCTTCCGGCCCACGGCCAGGTAAGTGTGCGCTGAGGCCCTCGGGGTGCCTCTCGGGTTGGGGGGTGGGGGTGCATGGAGACTCCGGGGCGCACTCTCCATGCTCCAGGAACCAGCTTTGATTATCTGCAAAGTCCTCGTGTTGTTGCCAGGTTGGGTTTTCGTTCTTCTTGCTTTCAAGAGATGAAAAGGGCTGGCCCATGGCTTTCCTCTGTGGGGGTGCCTGGGGAGCAGACGTCTCTGTTCCCAGCAGCAGATAAGATGCCCCCAGTGATGTCAGATTCTCTGGGTGGGGGCAGGTGGTGAGGTCATGGCGACCTCCGGGAGGTTCCTCCTCCTGTTGCTTCCGTCCCACGTGGGACAGCCCTAGACTTGGTGGAGGGGGGCAGGAAATTTTAGGGATCAGAAGCAGTTTCATAAGGCCGACCGCCTTCGGCTCACTCGCTGGTGAACAGTGGAAATACGGGTTCTCGTTCATGCTGGGAGTTCTCTGGCTGAGGAGTCCTGTTGTCCATAGATTCTTGGAAGTGGTGCCTTTGAGCGAAATGATGTAGAATGAAAGGAGGTCTCGGTACCAGCCCTCGGTTCACAGCCGCCAAGACTGTTGTTGTTTGTTTTGTTTTGTTTTTTCTCATCAACGCTGTTAAGGAAAAGATGTGCTTTAGGGACACGCTGTATTTCCAGAGTGGAGTGGTGGGTAGTTTTTCGTAGAACTATTTAGCATTTAAGCATCTGTTACTGGACTGATGCAGTGAGAAGTTGCATCAACCGTGATTTGGGGGTACAGAAAAGCCTCTCCAGTTTCTTCCCCTCTGGTTCAGAATTTGGTGGTGACTCCTGTCGCCAAATCAGAGCGTTAAGTCATCTTCCCGTCATTGTCTCCCTGACGTCCTGCTCCAGGGCTTAGGGACCTGCAGTGAGTGAAACCCCCGTTCATTCATTAATCGTCCTACAAATTGTAATAATAAATGGCTTCTCCAATGTGTCTGAATAAAGCAGTGCAGTCCTCAGTATGGCATTACAGTGGGATTTCTCAAGGTACATAAAACAACAAAACTGCAGATTCTTATATCAAGGTCATTAATTTTAGCCAGTACATCATAACTGTAGGTGTGCTGAGATCTAAGACCATCCTCTACCTTGTCAAAACTGATTATTCTATAATTCCTGTAAAATATAGCATAATAAATATGTAGTTGTCTTGAATTACACAAAAATGTTTGTTTCAACGAGTGGCCACTGGTTGGGGGTAACTGCGATACTCATGGGCCATCATTTGCTCCCCTAGTCCTGACCAGTATAGCTCGAAGCCCAGGCCCTTCCATCTAACCCAATACCTCCCTTGCCTTTTAGGGGTTGTGGGGCTCACGCTGTTCTACCCACCCTTAAGAGTGAATCGTGTCATGTTACCGCCAGTTGCTGTTCTGTGCCCCGGCCCTCTTGATGCTGACATTCTCGTCATATTTGGAAATTTTTCAGGAAAGCCTTTGCTTTCGAGGCCCTTCTGTGCAGACAGGTTCTAAGGAGCGCTATATGCCCACAATTGGATGCACAGGAGGTGTGGGAGGTAGTGCGGGCAGACCTTGCATCACTAGACAGCTGTCTGCATCTTGTAACTCCGAGGTGGCCCACCTCAGCCCCCACCCCACCCACTCCGCCTGATGGAAGCTGCAGGGCTAGAGGTGGTGCTGGCCTGCAGAGACAGGCCTGAGCTCCGTAGCTTGGTTGCTGTCCTTCCCAGCCTTCCCAGCCCAAAACCTCACATTGGCTGCTTGCCTGTACACGCCGACCCGCTCCAGAGAAACTGTCTGGAGAAATAAAGACGGAGTGTGGTCAGCATCTGCTGCAACCAGTAGCCTCAGTAGCCAGTAGAAAAAGCGTAATCAAAATGCAAACCTTTAGGCTTTATCTGGGTTTCATTCAAAAAATCTCTACCACTGGAAAGCAACCTCTCCACCCTTCAGTGTAAGTTCTGAAGCAGGCAGAGCAGCAGGCTGTGTATGGGGGGGTTCGGGCTACCCCGTGTGTCAGAGGTTTACAGCATTGCAAGCTGTCAGGAGGGTCTGTCGTTCATCTTAATACAAACCGCGCTTCTCCGTTCGCTGTTTTTACACCAACTTCAGTGAAGCATTTCCCCCGAGCCAGACCAGAGATGATGCATCCCAGCTCCCAGGCTCTGCGGCGCGTGCCTTGTAAACCCGCCTCTCCCCACCCTCACTAAATGGCTTTTGAAAATTGCAAATTTGGGACAGAGTTCCTGTCTTTGCCAGAACATGCATGTTGAAGGCATTTATTTCAGGCCCACACACTGGCCTGGTTATGACTAGCTGAAGCCTGTAGCTGCAGAGGGCATGTTCTCATGTCACGTGAAGAAACGGTGATGGCTTTCTGGATTAAATCCGGGTGCTTCTCTCTTCCACCTCACAAGATACTTTCAAGGTGGACACAATCTCCCTGTTGAGGCCTCATTAGAATAATCATTTCTTAACCTCATAAAGAACCGCCAAGCAAAAGCACATTTTTTAATGAAATATTAACTCAACAATGTTTGAAACACGCTTCAAAATACATATATAAACATGTGAATATCTTTCTGCAAACATACCGCTTATTTCATGCTTTTATCTGATTGTGGAGCAGTATTTACATAGCTCTCAGAATAGTTAATTACACTATAGGCGAGTACATTGCACAAACACTAGCAGGAATTACAGGCGAGATAGAAAAATATAATTATACATAGGTATAGTTCAGATTTGTTTTCTGCTGTCACCACTGAAAATTCACTTTGTTCTTTGTTGCCCACGAGCCGTGATCAGTATTTGTTTTAATAAGTGACTTAACGCCAAAGCCACAGGCAGGAGAACACTGGGACGTTCATTTTGAGATAATTATCTTACACAGATGTTTACTTATTTGGGACATTTGTAGAAAATGCCTTTCTCTCAGGAATGAATAGAAATTTACTCAGTTCCTGAATATTTCAAAAATCAGGAGTCAAAAATAAAGAGAAACCAAAAAAAATTAATTCAAAAATTTTGAATAAGTTCTAGCTAGTAATTCTACTTCTCAGAATTTATGAACTGGACTTTATAATTGGGGAATTGAATGAAGATTTATATACAGAGGTTGTGTGCTTGATATTATCTATGTTAGTGGAAAATGGAGACTCAAATATTTTGGAAAAACAAAGCACATAAAAATCCTGATATTAATGGTTGATCGTGGAAATGCTTATCGGATGGGTGGAATAAGGAGGTCATGCAATTGTCTGCATGTTACTATCCAGGTAGTGTTGATATGTGTAGAAAAATACTGAATAACTAAAATGTTAGCGGTGGTGTTTCTACTTGGTGAGGTCATGAATGATTAAATTACTGTTTTCTTCTTTACACTTTGCCGCCTTTTCTACACTTTTCATCATACATCTATGCTACATTCTAACATCAGAAAAAGAACTTTTTTAAGGAAAGGAAATTCTCTATTTTAAAAAGGTTTAGACTTTGCTAATTCTCTCTTTCTTTTGCTAATTGTTTTTTTAAAAATCCTTGGTTATCCAATTTGCCAGTCGGATTGAAGTGATACCATTATTGTCTATTCATTTACGTGTATTAGTTTCAATTCCCATTTTAGGAGCTAGTTCTAAGATCCTTCTCCCCACAGTCATTCTGCTTTCCTTCCCCCACCCTTTACCCCTCACCATCTTCTCTTAATTCCTACAAAATTTGAGCTAACATGGTGAGAATGAAAAAGTAGCCATAAAATCTCCACTCTTGAAAGCTTTCAAACCTTCTCTGGGCCATGTTTTTCTATTACTTCTTTGATCATTCACCTTTTCCTTTTTTCACTTCTGGAACTCTTTTTTTCATCCTGTATGCCACCTTCTGGATGGCTCTTTAATTTTTAAAAATATGTGTTTCTGTAATCAAGTAGCCACAGCTTCCTTTGAGCATGCCTTTCCTAATGCTGTTACTGGTCAGGAACAGAAGCTGGTCTCTCTCCCCTCCCCCACCCTGCTGCTTTTTGCATAACCTAACACCGTGTCTTAAACATAAGGATGTCATTTGATCGCCATTAACAAAAATGTGTTTACAGTTGATGATTGGCTCCAGTGGAGAGAGCTTTAGCACGAATAACACAGAGCTGCTCTTGAGACCAAATAGAAGAACTGGAAAAGCAGGTCTGCATAGGATCCTTGGGTAGAAGGTGGTTATCTCGTACCAGTGCAACAACAATGAGACTGTGGGCAGCAGACGGGGCCTCTGTCTGACAAACAAAAAAAAACGGTGAACGGACATCGACCACAAGCAGATGACAGCTTGATGCCCAAGGAAGGGTACAGGGACATGCAGAACGCAGAGTCGTTCCTCCGTGGGAGAGTGGGAAGTGAATTCTTTCTAAAATGCAATCTTAATTTTTAGCAGATGAGCCCATAGATCACTCTGCTCCTTGATTCTTTCCGTGGTGTTCTCTGTATTTATTGGAATGAGCCCATAGAGGCACACATTTATGTGCCGGGTGCCCTGTGGGACATGTTATTATAAGCTTTGCAGCCATGCAATACCCGCAGAAAGAACAGAGCACCTATACCCACTGCCCTGGAGGAAAGCCCTTCCAAGGTATGTTTTCTGTAACTTGGAAAACCTGGAGCCCTTTGTTCAGTCTCTTTAAAATATATATTGTTTATTTGATCAAAATAATACATGACTTACCTAAGAAAGGAGACTAGTACTCTAAAGGCTTATGATAAGAAATAGCAGCCGCCTGCGCCATCCCCTGCAATCGTACCGCCTGCTTCCCAAAGACCACTGCTTGAGCGCATTACGTTGTTCCCTCTTATTTGTCTCCATAAAGCACTGTCTCAATTTTTCAGTTATTTCATTCTACACATACCAGGACTTTGCTCATGTGCACTTCCTCCTCGCAGTCATACACAAGCCCTCCCCACACAGTCTGTCATTTTTTCTCTCCCAAACTCTCAGGATAACTAGAAATTAAGTACATTATGATTTCAGAATATT